TGTAATCTTAATTCTATATTCTGAATTTTTTAACATAAGACTACACAATTTCTCTTAGGCCAAATCACATCACTTGTCTAATTTGTTTTGATGAATATGAATATAAATCATGATCTGACTTATTATGAAGTTTATTGTATGCAGTTTCATTATTTATAAAAGGTATGAGTTTTATTAAGTGGTAATTAACTTGTTTCAGGATTAAAAGCCTATGGTATTCTCATTATAGCTATAGTATTATAATTCTTGTGAATTATAAATGATTTAAAGTATCTCTTGTCTTCTGGCTATTATGTGTGTTTAGACCATTTTTATCTCAAATGCATAAATGGAACAAATCAGAAGAGGTTTTGGGGGTTAATTGAACCAATTATATTCATGATGTTCCATCCCCACAATCTTCCAGGAAGGTAACTATGAGTCATACTCAACGTGAAGGCACACAACCACAACATGGAAATAGAGCACTCTTAATGAATTTGAAAGTTAGCACTTGAAGAGCCTCTTTGCTTTTATCAGCATATCCCAAAGGAGTGCTCAAGCTTATAGGTTCTCTCCAGTTCATTACCAATAAGAAGAGTCTTGTAGAATCAGTAGAAGACACTTGGTGTGCTAAGGTATTTGGGAAAATTTTAAATTTCAGATGAAATTCTAATGAGATAGCTATTTGTAGTTACATGCATTGTGCTTAATTTGGGGGAAATGATAACAAATGAAAATATAAGCAAAAAGTAGGAACGTTAGTAATATAAGAACACCCTCTCATCATAATATGTCACAAAACAAAGGTTTCCTTTCATCTAATAATTGAGGAAGAAAGCACAAGTGTTCCAAGACATGCTCTCTTTATGCCTTGTTTCCTTTTCTAGCAAAGAACTGCTTCAGCTCTTGGTAGATGGTTTAATTCCTAAAAATCCTTCTGCAGCTGTGGTACATTGTTCTATGTACCGCTTTCATTCAGTGACAGTATTAGTCTTCAGAGTAGGTCCTTGTATAGAAAATGTACAGTCGGTTGATACTTTCATAACTTTAAAACCTCATTCATCACTAACATCTGATTCAAGAAATACCTGGTTAAGGCACCAAACTAAACTGCACAGAAAACAGTGCATTAGGCTTTGAGAGTGACTGAAAGATTACTAAGAGGCTGGCTTTTTTGTTTGTGCCCACTCTCTGTCACGGCTACTTCAGAAAAGGTATACTGAGGAAGGAAAATGCCTGATAAATGGGGAAGACACGTTTTGTGAGGAGAAAGCTTCCTGGCCACTCAAATTCATCAAGAGTGCTTTATTCTCATGTTATTTTGTGCCTTCCACCTTCCAGCAGAATATGACTCTTTGTGACCCTAACGTAGGGAAGAAGCTGCAACCTTCCCTATTCTGTAATGTCCCCACCATCGCTAACACAGTTGAGGCCATGGCTACAGTCACTGTGTCAATCCACCACAAGGAGTGTCTTCCTTTCTTATGCTGACCCTCCACTACTTTTCCCAGCATGATACCCTTCCTTCACCAAGGACTGGCCCATCTTTAACAACATGGTCAAAGTATGGGAGATGAAGTTTCACCATCCTTGCTTCCAAGGAGCACTCTGGTTTCACCTTCTCCAAGACCTATTTGTTTGTTCTTTTGGCAGTTCATGGAATATTCAACACTTTTCTCCAACTCCACAACTCAAAGATATCAATTCTGTCATCTTCTAGTTACCTTCCAACTTCGAGATGCATAGCAGGCAATTGAGAAGACCATGGCTTGAATTGGGTAAACCTTAGTCTCTATACTCTAAAGAAGTCCCTTGAATTAGTGCAAATAAATGTGTCTCATTTGTATGAGTACACATAGGATTATTATGAAATACATTATGATATTACACTCATTTTTTTTATAAGAAAATTTTGGGGAAATTATTTTTTTAAGTAAATTTTGAGAATGGTAATAAGACCCTCGATGAAATAGACTGATTCAGTGACTGGGGTAATAAGGTGGATGTGTCAGAGACAGTGAGATTGTCACAGGATAGAGCAGGGTTTAGGGCTGTTGTACATAGGGTCGCCATGAGTCATAGGCCACTCATTGGTACCTAATAACAACAACAATATGTTTAGTGATTTGGGGGAGAATTTTTTTGTTTGTATGTTTGTTTTGTTTTTATTTGTTTTTTGTCTTTTAAGTTGTTGTTGTTTGTTTTTATGTGCCATCAAGTCAGAAGTGACCCATAGGTTTTCAGAGGTGGTGAATCGTATGGGAGGCCCATCTTTCTCCTTTGGAGCAGTTGGTGGATTTCAACCATGTGCTTTTGTTCTTAACTAGTGAGCTACCAAAGTTTACATTGTGGTCTTAAAAAATTGCATATATGGGCAATGGAAAATTTGAGTTAAATCTGTGCTCCATGGAGAGCAGTGAGTAAGACACTGTGTACGCTTTACCTTTGCTTACATCTTCTGTACTTTGTTTACTTTTGCTTTTTGCGCTTTCATTATATGTGGTATATTTACATCCATAGTCTCATAAGAACCCATCTTAACCCCTTTATAATTTTTAAAAGATTTGATACATATATATCTCATATACATATTTATATTTTAATAATTATAGATTAAAACAAGAGAGGAGAATTAGAAGAGAATTGTCCCTTACAATTTTAATTTCCTATTTGGTCTAGACAAGCAAATTCAGCAATTTTCCAGTTTATATAAAAGTTCTATAATAAGAAAGTAATAGTTTCTACAAGAGAAAGCTTGGAACTGAGAGCCATATTATGGATACAGTTGGAATTCTTTGTGATTTAAAGTATATTTGTCATGCAAAAATTATGAAATAACAGAAAATTCCTACTTTTTAATATCTTGAGTTTAAAGAGTTCTTTCATATGTGATCTCTTTTGAATTCATTTAATCCCATCAAGCTGAGAAAGACAGAAGAGTACATACCATTGTATAGCTGATAATATTATTTAAATTGTTGGTGGCCAACTAATACCGGAACCAATGTTTTCTGGTTCTGTGTCCTTAGTTGTTTTGAGAGAGAGGCTTATTCAGAAAGATCTTAGCACTGACAACCTTTAAATATGGAGGTACTTGTAATATTTCCTGTTTTGACTTCTATGAATCTTTTCCTTTACCAATAGTTTAACAATAATTCTTACCTTAATATGTACTTTAAAAATTGAAAAGTATATTTTTAACCGCTCTATTGTCTTTACTCAGTAGCAGCTAACAACTGCTGCCCTCCTTCTTGCTGTTGTGTACTATAGAATTGGAATCAGCCCACAGCTGACCCTCTAGCAGGTTTTCAGAGACAGTGAATCACATGGGAGGAGGTTGCCCAGCCTCTTCCTACAGAGCAGCCGGTGGATTTGAATCCTGTGCCTTAGGGATTCCAGTGCAGATTTTCATCACTAGGCTGCCAGAGCTCTCTACCACGCTATTGGAAAGACATTTTTTCTTAATCAAGCAGACAAACCACCAACTGAACATTCATGGAGAACATTCTTTATTTTTCCAGCTTAATTGTAAAAATATGGTCAAAGTAGAAATTTTCCTCTAGTGGAAGATATTTTATGTGATGGATATAGTAATGAAAATTGTACATTCTAGGCTAATCCAGAACCCTGACATAAATCTTCCTTAATTATAGTTAGTTATAGCACAAGATTTTCTAGATATTAAGCAAGAGTGCTATATCCTCCATGGTAGTTCCATCTCCTGCTTCGTCCTTTAAAGACTTGCAGATGCTATATTCCATATTCCCCCTAAACTATTCTTTTTTGCTTGTTTTAAATTTTTTATATAACTTGATTTATTTACAAACTTTGAATACATTGTTTTTCACAAAACATCCTTCCTCTTTCCTTCACTCCACTCACCCATCGAATTGTGCAACCCTCTGATTAACACCCTACATCCACCCCCATCCTCAACCCTCTATTTCCACCCCCCGCCCCTTGGACTCTTATACTCATTCTACAATAATGGTCTTACACAGTATTTGTCCTTGTGAAGCTGAGTTAGTACACTCAGCATAATGCTCTCTGGTTCCTTCCCAGTTCCATTATAATTTACAGAATGATTGCTCCTGCGTGCTATGTAATATTACATTGTATGAATGTACCAAATCTTCTCCATCCATTGGTATGTGGCTGGACATCTGGGCTGTTTCCATGTTCTTGTGATGGTGAATAATGCTGCTATGAACATTGGTGTACAAGTTTATGTTTGAGCCTCAGTTCTCTTAAAGCTCTTTAAAAATGTCTTTTAGGACATTTTAAAAACTGTTAATTCTCTAGAAGATATAATGAATACTAGGAATAGGATTAACTATCACCTGGTATCTTCTCTTCAGAGTATATTCAGGTTAATAAAAGTAGACATGGCTCAGATTCCAGTTATATAAGTAAACAATCCTTTTGTTCAGCAATTGCTCAAGTTACTATATGACAATCTTTATGGTAGTCTTCGAGACTAAAAATATCACTTCACTATAGTTATTGTTTTCAAGAGTGCTATCATTTAGTTGTTACAAAGCTATATCAAAATTCAGTTGGAATAATACAATTAAGCTTCTCTATCAAATTCTCTGGGAAGAAAACCCCAAAGTATTTACAGGCCTGAACAGTTATCAGAGCATTGTTTCAAATCTTTTTTTTTATAACCTTTACATTGTCCTTAGCCATCTCATATGTTATAAAAATAGAAAGCTATTAAAATTGCCCATTCCTCAAGAAGAATAAATGTTCTGTTTAAAAATAAGGTGATATACACTATTAGGTACATAAGGACTAAACACTTTAAGCAGTAACATAGAATTACTTTTCCACCTATGATAAAAGTCATCTCACAAGAACAATGCATGTACATCAGTTGAGTTCCTGGTGTGGTTTATTTTTTTTTTTTTGTATTCATATATAATATAATAAGTTATGAAAAGAGGGATGTTAACAGTCTTTGAAGCTCATGATCTATGTGTTAATCTTTCGCAGAAGACCACTGAAGAACAGCATTAATGGAAGAGAGGAATTTCACCAAAGTGAAGGAGTTTATACTTGTAGGGTTCACAACTGATTTGAAGGTACAGAAAGGGCTCTTTTTTATCTTCCTCCTCATTTATATCTTCAGTCTCTTAGGGAATATCACCCTGATTTCTCTGATCTTTGGTGACTCACGACTCCACACACCCATGTATTTCTTCATTGGAAATCTATCCTTTCTGGATCTCTGGTATTCTTCTGTCTATGCTCCCAAGATTCTAGTGACCTGCATCTCTGAAGACAAAAGCATCTCCTTTGCTGGCTGCCTGGCTCAGTTCTTCTTCTCCGCTGGACTGGCATATAGTGAGTGCTATCTGCTCGCGGCCATGGCTTACGACCGCTATGTGGCCATCTCCAACCCTCTGCTCTATTCCCAGGCCATGTCCCCAAGGTTATGTACCTGTCTTGTTGCAGTTTCATACCTTAGTGGCTTTATTAACTCAATCATCATCACCAGTGAGACATTTACCCTGAGCTTCTGTGGCAACAACGTCATTGATGACTTCTTCTGTGATCTTCCCCCGCTGGTGAAACTGGCCTGTGACGTGAAGGAGAGTTACCAGGCGGTGCTGTATTTCATACTTGCCTCCAATGTCATTACTCCCACTGTCCTGATCCTCGCCTCGTACCTCTTCATCATTGCTGCCATCTTGAAGATTCGCTCCGCCCAGGGCCGCCTCAAAGCCTTCTCCACCTGTGGCTCTCACCTGACAGCTGTCACCTTGTACTATGGCTCCATTCTGTACATTTACTCCAGACCAAGCACTAGCTATGCCCTGGAACGGGATAAGGTGGTGTCAGTGTTTTATACTGTAGTATTTCCAATGTTGAACCCTTTGATCTATAGCTTACGAAATAAAGATGTCAAAGATGCCCTGAAGAAAATGCTAGGCAGAGTAAAATTTACTTAAAATACTAGCTAAGAGCAATAGGTTTTTTTTTTTTAGAAAAGATTAATTGCATATCACTTACCAACTCATAATCATTGAAATAGAGAAGTAAACACATGAACCTAAATAATTGTATAGTGTAGAAAAAGCATTTTACATTTGTCGTTTAAGTGATATACTAACATTTTTCAATGTACTTTTCAAATAAATGGGCTGGAGTTTTTAAAAAGAACCCAGGTAGCATAGAGTGTGTAATGTGTCAGAGTGGTGAAAGTAAGGGCTATTGTTGTTTGTCTTCAAGTGATAGCTTACCATCCGGCAGGTTTTCAGAGGTCGTAACTGTACAAGAGGAGATTGCCCATCCTTCTCCTGAGGGGCTGGGGGTGGATTCAGACTGGGGATTGCAGCACAGCTTCTTACCACTGGGCCACCAGAGCTCCCTAAATATACGTGTGGAAGTTCAAATCTACCAGGTACCCCATGGAGGAAAGATAGTCTCCCTCTGTAAAGATTTCTACCCCAGAAATCCTAGGATGGATTGTTCTGACTTAGAATTCACTCCATGGAGCCAGCTTGTTTGTTGGGGGAGGGAATCTTAAAAGACTGCAACAGATCTCTCTCACTTTACTTAGAACTTGGTATCAAAACATGTTGAGTATGTGAGAAAATTAAAAGAAAAGCTGCTTTTTCACAAAGGTCACAAATGTTTCCCCACAGTATTCTAATCTGTAGATAAGAACAAGGTATCTGGTCATTGGATCATAGGCTGGGTTCAGTGGATTAAATAATCTTTCTTTAAATCATGCCATCATCCTCAAGTAAGAGAAAGAATGCACATCCAGAAGTTCTAATCACGCAAGTCCTCCTACTTGTGGGAAAATAGTGACATAGAAAGTCATAAGAAATAAATCTACTGTGAAATGATCCTACAAATAAATTTCACTTATTCCTTCTCTGATTATTCTTCTTAATTTGCCATAAATATAAAGATAGTTTGTTTCACAGACAACAGGTATATGGGAGAACACACACCTCTACTCATTTCTAATTTCTCAGTGACCACTGGTAAATGTCAGCAAAATACGTTTTGAGTTTTCCTTAATTTGTTTGTTTTACTTTAGGAATTAAAGAATCAAGAGCAAAGTTATGGAAGTTGTATAAGAGTCAGAAGTAGATATGGAAATAGGGATAGAAAGGGTGACAGAGATAAATATCCCAAAAGTTTTAAGTATTTAGGACTACTTGGAATAAAAAAAAAACCTACTGGAGTAAACTAAAATCCTACTAAACTCATTGCTATCAAGTTGATTCTGACTCCCAGTCAGAATCTACGCTCTAGAATAGAATTGTCCCAGATCTTGACTGGAGCAGAGTGCCACCTTTAACTATGAGGGATTGGTGGGTTTGAACCGCCAGCAGATGAGTATTTTAACCATTGTACCAGCAGAGATCCTAATAAAAGCATTTACATATGTTTGCTTGTTTAGTTCTATGTATTGTGAATTTGTTTTTAAAAAAGAGAATATTTCCGTAAGATTCGTGCTGCTTACATTCTGAAGTACTTTTAAACATGCTCCAAGAGATTGTAACACATAGAAAGGGCTCTGTTTTTGCTTGAAAGAATTATCAGTAGTTTTCTGAAGAACAAGGAATAAAAAAGTAACCTGGGCAGGAGGAAAAAGCAGCAAAATTATTAGTCAGATTTTTTTATATTCTAGAAAATCTAATTAGTACAATTCAAATATTTTTCTAAGACACCTTTAGTGTTTGCATTCTTAGTAAAATACTCCTCCTATCATCATTTGGATATCATGACATTTTCATCCTATCATAATTAATATCCCTAAACTCCATTTGAAATTTAACACAGTCTTTGGAGACTGAGGTAATAAATATTCTGGGCTGCCGTGCAGCAGAATCCCCTAAGGACTGTTGAGAAAGTGCATATATTATGTCTAAAGAAGGTCAAAGCACCAGAGAAAGGAGTTTCATTTCCAGCGATCAACTTGCTAAAACAGGGTAAGGACTTGGGCAGTTTATCAGCTCGGCTCTCTGGGACCTCTGCTGCAGTTGGAGTGGGGCTTCAGAGTCTGGGCTGATCTTCAGAGGAAGCACTGCGTGCCTAACACATGCACACGTACACGCAGACGCATAGACACACAATCTCCCTTCTGCACAAGGCTGCATCCACTGCCAGATCTGGCCTCTTCTAGAAATGGAATCTTAGTTTACTCTTAGGGAGTCCCTGGGTGGTACAAAGTTTAGCCAGTTTGGCTGCTGGAAAGGAAAACCTGGCTGTCTATTTGTTAAAAAAACCAACCATTAATATCTTCTGAGCAAAATTCTATTCTGCATACATGGGTAGCCATGAGTCAAAATCTACCTATGGCGACTTTTCATAAATGACTTGGAGTTCTGGTGACCGTATGGTAAGAAGTTGCACTGCAGTCCCGAAGGCACAAAATTCGAATTCACCAGCTGCTGTGCAGGAGAAGAATTGACAATCTCCTCCTCTGTGACTTACTGTCTCCGAAAGCCTGCTGGAAGGGCAGGGATGGCTTGGTTCTGATGTGATGGCACACAATAACAAAACAAGATCAAAGTGAGTGAGGAATTGTTGCCTTTGAATTGTGGTATCTGCAAAGAGTATTGAATATTCCTCAGATTGCCAACAGAACAAAGAAATCTGTTTACCAGGGTGCTCTTTTGAGACACAGATGTTGGAACTTTCTCTGGTACATTTTAAACATGTCGAGAGGTACCATGCTCGGAAAAAATGCATGATGTTAGGAAAAGCAGAGGGTCAGTCGAGAGGAGGAAGACCGTGCTGAGATGGACAGGTGCAGTGACTGCGGCTATGACCTTGGGTATGTGGAGCTTGTGCGCATGCTTCAAGGGGGCTCAAGGTTTCGATCTGTTTTAATCATAGAATTACTAGGAGTTGTAATGGATTTGACAGTTCCTAACAACAGCAATATCTGATCTTTGTTTTGGAGATACAATAGTAAAAACATACACATCTTTTAGCCTTCATAGATTTTGCATTCTGATGAGGAAAAAACAGTATATTTCCCCCTTTTTAAAATGGATTGTGTTTCTTGCATATACATTGTGTTCCATGTTGTTGTTATGTGCTGCCAAGTTGCCTGCAAGTTATAGTGACAATATAGTACAATAGCTCTGAAACCTACCCTATTCCGAGCCAGTCTCACTGACTTTGACATGCCTACTCTCATCGCACCAGTTACTGTATCAATCCATATCATCTGGGGCTTTTACTCCTGTGCTGTCCCTCTTCCCTTCTAAGCATGATGACCTTCTCCAAGGATCAGTCACTCCTGGCCACATGCCCCAAGAATGTGAGACAGTGCTTCAAAATCCTAACCTCCAAGGAGAAACTTGGTTTCACCCTCTCTAAGACAGACTTACTCTTTTTCTTTCTTTTTTTTTTTTTGGTGGTCCATGGTATGTTCAAGACTCTTCTCCAGCACCACAACTCAAAGGCATCAATTTTTCTGTCATCCTTAGTCATTGTCCAGCTCTCTGATGAATAGCAAGTAACTACAAAGACCATAGTCTGGATCAGGCACACCTTACAATCCCTCATTTATATTCTTTCATTCAATCATCCATATACACTGTCTCATGTCATTGCTTACAATTCATTTAGGCCTATTATTGAACAATATTTTCAAGTATCAATTGGTGTGAGAGGAAGACAGTAAGTATAATGGAGAGTGTAGGTAGGGTATGATGGATGAGGAATAATGGAGTCGATGTGGAAGTGAAATTTTAAATAGATTGATTAGAATGGCTGTGAGCATGTGACACTTGAAAAGAGCTCAAGTGAACTGAGAGAAGAGGCAGAGAATACACGGTAGACAGGACTTCAGACAGAGGGGACAGACGGTTTGAAGTAGCTGTTGCTGTTGTGTGTCTGGCATCCGTATTTGAGAAATTGTGGGAGAGCCAAGGACTCTACAGAGTGAGCCAGTGGGTGTTCAGTTATGAGATGAAGAGAACTTCAGACTGTTGTATAGATTTGAATTTGTTTTAAAGTGAAAACCTTAAAGGGATAGTGAGTCCAGAAGCAACTGACCTAACTTTTTCTTTTCTTAAGCCACACTGGCTGAGTTATTGAGAATAGGTTGTAGGGAACACAAGTGTATGTCACCTTGGTAACAATTGTGATCTTCTTCACAGAAGATGAAGATGGTTTGGATAAAGATGGTAGCACTGGTGGTGGTGAGAAACGATCAGATTCAGAAAATGTTTTAAAAGTAGAAACACCAGAACTTTTTAGAAGATTGAAAATAGATAACAGAGATAAAAGGTTTAGAATAAGACCAAATATTTGGGTTGAGGAACTAGAAAAGTAGAATTTTATTTACTATCACAAAGAATGGGGGGGGGGAACCCAACAACAAACAAACCAACATAACCCTGATAATTTCTGGAGGTATAGCATAGAAATTTTAACTTAAACCTGCAAAGTTTGCTAGACTCATTATTTAAAGATTCTTTTATTATTTTCAAATGATAGCACTAGCCAGAAATGGAGACATCATTTTCCTTTAGAGCAGCTGGTGGATTCAAACATCCTTCCTTGGGGTTGACAGCTCAAATCCTTAACCAGTAGGCCACTAGAGTTCCCTACCAAGCTTCTAGTTGTGAAAATGTTAATTGACATTACAATAAAGTTGCAAATGAATATATTTATGGGGATTTTTGAACTCTCTAAATTTTATGTAATTAGACCTACGCACAATTTTTATTGATGTACAAGTAGAGGAGGGGAAAAACCCCCAAAACCTTAGCCAAGTTCTCATTTTTACTTCTAAAGACTTGTACAGGCTTTGTTCTTTAACTCTCATTTGAGGACTGCCTCAAAACCTTTTCTAACACATTTGTAGATCTTACATGACAAGCCATTTATTCAACTAGTTTTAAAAACAACTCTTTGCAAGACAAAGTTATAGATTAATGAATTATGGATATAGTTACCTTTTCAATTAATATCT